CGGAGGCGACGTTGGTGACCCCGCAGCTCCGCGGCTCGGTGCCAGGGGTGATTTTTCAAGTGTGTGTAAACGAAATACTTCATTTTTTTTTTTTTTCCTCTGTGTGTGAGAGAGAGAGAGAGGAGTCCATATACTCGTACGATTGCAGGCTGTGAAACCTCTAAAAACTTTTGCTTTTGAGATACACGCAGGCAGAAAACGCTATATTTTGTTCACAGCACCACAGGTTTACTGGATGAGAATGCTAACTGTCGCAAAAGGTAGATTAAGGTTTTTTGCAGCGTCTTGGAGCTCCGTTTTCTTGCCTCGTTTTCTCCCAACTTGCATATTTTGCGCCTTTTTTTTTTTTTCCCCTGTTTTAAATAGAAAAATCAGCCTAAAATATGACTTCAGTTATATTGCACTAGCGTTGTTGGGAGAGAGAAAGGTGCAAAGTTGGATCAGGACGAATGTCTCATTCTTCCTCTTATCTGGCGGTTTGTCAGTGCATAGAGGGCAATCGTATCGAAACTCTGCAGTCGGGGGGGAGGGAAGATTACTGTATAGAAACTGTATTTACTGTATAGAAAACTACTCGCTTCCTTATCGCATTTGTAGGAGCGTAGCCCTGAGAGTGGGGCAGATCTTGCCCCTTCGTCCTCCTTCCCTTAAGCAGTTACGTTTTCCTGAGCATCTGACCTCTTCGATTCCCAGACGGACGAGCGCTTTTTTTTTTTTTTTTTTTATGTGTTTTCTGACCGTTGTGAAGGGATGCTGTATAAAAATAAATAAATAAAACAAAATAAAATTGTAGTCTTCTGCGGTAGTTAGCAGGTTCTTTTCCTGTTGTGGGCGTATGGATATACCGGTATAAATAGTTACCGGTTTCTAATGGCACGGGTGGCGTTGCAGGTGAGTTAGCCCACGTAACCTGACGTGGTTATACAGGTATCGGGCGCCGTCGTAGCTGTGAGCTGGGTTGGAAAGGTAAGTCGGGTCTGAGGGCTCTGTAAAATTGTGGCGTGTTTAGAGCCTCGATTCAAGAGCCTCCTCCAGGGAGAAACCATTACTCTTGGTTAAAGAAAACCCCCGTCACATCAAACAAACGGAAGCTCTTTAGCGCTCAGACCCAAAATAGAAACTGTGAAGTTGCACGAGCTAATTACGCCCTTTTATTTATTTCCCCCCCCC